TCATTCACTGGAAATTGTGCCAGAAGTTTGGATTTGAGTACAGCAAAAACCACTGGGAACATCAGATTGAGAAAGTTTTAGAGAATGAGAAACTCAAGATCTTGTGGGACTTTAGGATTCAGACTGACAGGCACTTGGTCCACAACACACCTGACATAACAATAGTTGAAAAGAAAAAAGTATGGTTCATTGACATTGCAATACCTGGTGATGCACGAATTGAAGATAAGCAGCAAGAAAAAATCACAAAGTACTGGGACTTACAAATTGAAGTTGAGCGACTGTGGAAAAAGAAATCGTGTGTTGTCCCGATTGTAATTGGAGCCCTCGGAGCAATACCCAAAGGGCTACCCCGCTATTTAGAAATTCTAAATTTGCCAGACTTGAACATTTTGACTCTACAAAAAACCACCTTACTCGGAACAGCTTACATCCTCCGACGATACCTTAACAGTTCCTAGGTCCTTGGTTAGGACTCGAGCTGCTGAGCTATTAACCAGCCTCAAAGGCTGTGAATCTCACTAAAGATTAACCAATAAATAACAATAATAATAATAATAATATTTTGGATAAATCACAATTTATGAGTGGGCAGCCTTACGTATCAATATTCCAATTTTCAGATGTCTATATTGTATGTATAATATGGGCCAGTGGCATGACCATCCCGAGTCCATTGGAGATGGGGCGGCATATAAGTTTCATTAATAAATAAATAAATAAATGACCAGCTGTGACTCATATGCCAAGGAATCTGTTCTGAGAGTGTGAGATGGACATGTCCAGAGTAATTGTAGGCACTTAACACCAGAGGCTAATTTGATCAGCAATCATCAACAGTATCTTCAGTTAGAGGGTGAGGAACAAAAGATGGAGCATAGATCCAGTCCATGAGCATAACAATGGTGTTCAGCTTGTCTTCTTGCCTGGAAAGGGCATTCCCAGTTTTGATTGGCTTCACTGCCATGGGGTTTTCTCAAAAGCCATCACTAACTTGGTTTTTCTCATTCGAAAACTGAAATCCTGGATTCTCAATCTGAGACTGTGTTCCTCTGGGATCCTAAAACTCTGCCTTTTTGACCCCATATTGGTCCACCCATTCCATCTGAACCTTTGGACTGTGACCTAGGTAGTCTTCTGCCCATTTCTGTAGACTATGCCCACTTGACATTTGTTGTAGGCAAGCTCGCCACGGATTTAGGACTTTTTGTTCACTGGGTAACAGTAGCTTGCACATATGCCCTGTGTGCCACTGCCTGAATTTGCATGACTCTGAGTAAAGCTTTTTGCAAAATATTCCTGTGTGTGTTTGTGTGTGTGTGTGTGTGTGCACATGCACATGTATGACCTGGAGCAGGACAGCTATCATACTCTATCCATCAGGAATTTTCCATTTTTATGCAATTGGTGCCACTTGTGCATAGAGTGATAGGATCAACAGTATGTCCAAAATTGTTGGGGTTTGCCAACAATATTCTCTCTCTGTTCTGATTAAGGCATCAGTGTGTTTGTTCTTTTCTAAATCAAATATTATCACTTTCAGGGGTCCTTGGTGCTCTCTGAGCTTGCTTGTTTTCTTGCAGACATTTCATTACCCTTAACTATGTAACATCATTGGTGCTAGTAAGGAGTGCTGTTTGCTGTCAGTTTATATTCTTGTGACTTACTTGTCTGTCTGTGTGGGTGGGTGGGAGCGATTTTAGGGATTCTTTGGTTGGTCTCTTTACTGATGGCTCTTTGACAGTTTCTTGATTGGGGTATTGCACATTTGATTGTTGGTCTGAAGTTGACCTTGGAGTTAATTTATGCTGATCTGAATGCTGATTACTGGTGAAAAGGTGCTGGAGTCTTTTTTGGGGGGCGGCGGCTGGTTGATTATCTCTTTTGCATAGCCTATAGATGTTGTTAATGTCTATGTGTCTGTTGAAAACAAGCAAGCTCAAAGAGCACCAAGGATCCTTCATTTCAACCTGAGCTACAAATATTCTCCTTTATTGGTACTACCATGTTTCCCCGAAAATAAGACCCTGTCTTATATTTTTTTGAACCCTGAAATAAGCGCTTGGCCTTATCGCCATGTGCTCAAAAGCCCAATTGGGTTTATTATCAGGTGATGTCTTATTTTGGGGGAAACAGGGTATCACTTTCAAAAAAATACATCTCACTTGATTTGATAGAAATGAAAACTACAGTTAAGCATAATTATCATTGCTGTAAAAGTAAAAATTTTCTATTTTCAGAAATCTTTCTCTAGCAGGGATGGGAAGGACATGTAGCTGGATTCTACCTCTCAAGTCCTGTAGTTTAAACTCAACACCAACTCTGGCCTTTGCCAAACCAGTATAATCCATACTGAAATATATTAAATCCACTTCAGGGAGAACACAGGAGATAAACAATATAGAATATAGAGTGAAATTGCCCTTAGTGTAAAATACTTATTCAGATCCATGGAAGTCAACTATTTAAAATACCAAAAGCAAAGTTTCATTTTAAAAATGTACCATCCAGTTTTGGCAATGAATTACCTGCATCTAAAGTACACCTTTATCTCAAAGCAAATTTCCTTGATTGCCTTATGATTTAGCAATTCAAAACCATGCAAATGCGAGTAGATAAATAAGTAACACTTCAGCAGGAAGATAACAGTGTTATTGTATAAGGTGATGGGAAACGCTTCCTTGATATTGTTTGGGCACTGTTTGGACCAAGCCTTAGCAGAAACAAGAAACAGGCTCCTTGTCACAAAAAAAACCTCTTTAATTATCTCCTGTGAATTAATGGCATTCACACACCGAAAAGTCCAGGCAATAGTCCTTCAAAGAGTTAGCTGCAGTAACAGACCTTATCAGTTCCTTGTTATAATTGCCAGGCCCTGAGCTCCCAGCCCCAAAACTGCAAATTAAGTTCTGGCAAGCAGTCTCTGAGGCATGAAACATGATAAGCCAAATCTTCAGAAATCTGAACTGTTGTTTCCTATGACCACCACTCCCCTTTCCTTCTATTTATTCCCCAGCCAGGGAGGGGTCATTCAGCATCCATATGTGCTTTGCTTCCTGAGTCAACTCCTTGTCCTCAGTTGTTCTCCTCTCCTAACAGTTCTGCACATACGTGCAACTGGAACAGCTCCAGCTGTTCTTCCTCCCCACATATCTCAGCCTCCAAAGGCAGCTGCCTCTCGGGTGGCTGGGAAATGTCAGACAGCCCTGGCTCTATCTCTGCGCCTGATGCAGAGTATCCATCAGAGCCTTCTCCAGACTCCAGAGCTGGCCCAAGTTCCTCCCCAACCTCATCATCTGAGTCTGCCTCCAGTTCTGCTGGCAACTAGTGGGCCACAACAGGCACTACATTTGGGAAGAAAAAGGAATAGCTGAGAGCTCTCTCTTTGGAACTATCTGTTCTGTCCCCGTCTCACACACGCACACAAACAGATAGCCAGGGGTTATCTGATACACACACTTCAAGAATTGTCAAGTCCAGTCCGTATTAAATCCAAGGCAGATAACGTTGTTTCAAAGATACAATGTGACTCGCTAGTAGTTTGTTTTGTCCGTCACAGAGTCTGAATGGCCACCTCATCCCCTTTTATCCCCTGTGGGGTGTGGTCCAGTGACTCAGCTTAATCTCTGGCACGCCTCCTTTTCTGCTGCATGCGCCTGTCTCTCCGACGCTGGCGTGGATCCAGCCAAGACTTATCTCCGTCACTGTCCGACTGCGAGGAGATATCTGGCTCCTGGCCAATCTCTTCTCCTTCGGGAGACACCTGAGGTATTGCCAGAGAGGAGGGTCCTGGAGAGGGAGGCCTGGCCAACTCCTCTCCTTCATGTTCGGAGCCTTCTCCCTCCGATAAGTCGGTCTCGGAAGTCGGAGTCACAACACTATCCTTCCCACTCATGCAGGTTTTTTTTATATTGTTGCCTTCTGATGGTTTAATTACAACATTCATAATTGCTGAGAAAACAACCACTGTGCTCAGTAGAGATTGTAAGAGCTTCAGTCCAACAAAGTAGAACATACCCTGTTGTAGAGACCTGTTCTAAAGATTCAGTGACTTGGCTCCAACATTGGAAGAAGCTATAACACAATGCTTTGCTTTGCTTTGAGTTAACTATACTGTGTGGCATTCTCTCATTCTGATTTAAAAACCATGATTTAATATGTGTGATCCCAGTCCCATTTTGCTAATAAACTGCAGTTCATAATTTACCAAAGTATGAAAATATTGTTAATACCTAAAACATTGGGTAAAATGTTGAAACACTTTCTTATTTGAACTGACTTTAAGGATTTTAATTGACCTTTTGAGTAGAGCATAGGATTTGGGGAGGGGGGGTGTATTTCATTCTCATATCAAAACTTGAAGCTGTGGCCTAAAAGTCCAACTAAATAAGTGGTGTAGCAACAAACAAACAAAAACCACACCACATGGTGTGTTGAACCATAAACTGTCAATTGCTATATTATCAGGTATGGCCAGGTCTTTCCCATGGATACTATGGGGGCTTTATATAGCTTATAACTAAGTAGCCACACCAAGTAAGTGCAGAAATACATGTAATAACAACATAGATTGAATCTGAAATTGATCATTTTTAGCACAGACCAAATGAAATGAATGAGATTTAAATGAATCTACTCTATGTATTCAATTTTAAAAGAAGTTTTTAAGCAGTAGGTGTAAAATGGTAGGCCCTTTTATTTAAACCCAAACAATTCCAATAATGTATAGACTAGACAGAGAGAAATAAGAGTTATGACATTTTTTTAAGCATAAGGCGTATGTGAAGAATAAGACTTTTCAGCAACTTAGTTAGAACCTATACATAAATCAGCAATCTAGGACTTTGGAGAGAAATGCAGGTAGCAAGTGCAAGCGAGAGATCAGAAAAACAGATTAAGAGAAGTAAAATATTATATCAGGACGAATCTGGGATCAAGAAAATGTGATCAGCCTTAAGGGTTCCGAGATCATGGACAGATCAGTGAGAATTACAACTTACCTCAATAAAATCTCATCTCATCATCTCATTCTTTTTCTATTTCTCCCTTTTCCCAGTACAATGCCCTCCAGATATAGTAGAATGTAATTTATGTCATCTTGTTTTCAATTACCTGTGACCTGGAACACAGTGGCAGAGCATATGTTTTACACAGAGAAAGTCTCAGTTCAGACCATATTCAGTAATACATAAAGATTAACTATGGCCTTTCATGGTTGTAAACAAAAAATTAAAAATAATAAAGTAATAACTTTAAAAGAACTAATAAAACCAGAATTTAAGATATACATGAAATTTCTAGGTGATATCCTCCATGGGATATCATCGATACGCTGAAGATACCCATTTATATATCTCTGTCCTGCGTGAATTGAATGATGCAGTAGAGATCCTTTCATGATTCATGGAAGCTGTAGAAGTCTGAATGGGGAACAACAAACTTCAGCTGAACCCCAGACAAGACAGAGTGGCTGTGGGTGGGCCCCTCTGTACCAGCGGTGGTTTTCAAATTTTTTTACTACTGATGCTGTGGGTGTGGCTTGGTGGGCGTGGCATGGCTTGGTGGGCACGGCAAGGGAAGGATACTGTAAAATCTCCATTCCCACCCCACTCCAGGGGAAGGTTACTGCAAAATCCCCATTTCCTCCCGATCAGCTGGGACTCGGGAGGCAGAGAATAGATGGGACCGGGGCAGGGGTGGGTTCTACTTACCTTTACTACCGGTTTGCAACGGGGCCACGCACAAGCATCAGGGTCAGTGGGCGGAGCCTCCTGCCGGTTTTATTACCAGTTCTATAGAATCGGTGCAAACTGGGAGCAACCCACTACTGGGGCGGGGCCAGTCAGAATTTTTACTACCAGTTCTCCAAAGTACTCAAAATTTATGCTACCGGTTCTCCAGAACTGGTCAGAACCTGCTGAAACCCAGCTCTGCTCTGTACCCCAGAGTTCATCATTGCACTAGCCCAGGCAGACCTAATGCGTAACTGGGGGGGGTCCTCTTGGACTCACAGCTCCTACTCAAAGAGAAAGTGGTGGCCCTAGCCAGGACATCCTTTGCTCAACTCCACTTTGTGTGCTAATTATGCTCTTTCCTAGATAGGGAGGCTCTCCATGGTCACTCATGCCCTGGGCAACTCCCAATTGGATATTGCAATGCATTCTAGCTACCATGTAGATTATCCAGAAACTTCAGCTAGTGCAGATCCAGAGATATGAACCATACTGAGTGACTGAAGAACATGTGTAACACCCATGCTATTCAAACTGCACTGAGTTAGCAGCCTGCTTCCAGATCCAATTCAAATGTTGGTCAACACCTTAAACAACAACCGGTTTGCCCAAGGTCAGGTTGGCAGTTGTGGGAGGTGTGGCCCATCCCCATCCTCCAGCTCCACCACTCATACAATGGCCAACTTGACCCTGGGTGAACCAGTTGTTAAATTACACACACACACACACCGCTATCAAAATGGATCCTGAGCTCTGCGCTGCAATGGAGAAACGGAAAATGGAGCGGCTGACACAAGGGAAGGAGGAGAAGCAGAGAGAAGAAAGAGGAAAAGCAGACTTCTCCTTCCTTTGCGCTGGCTGCTCCCCTGCCCATTTCTCCATTGCAGCGCAGTGCAGCAACCAGGATCCATTTTGATTGGGGGAGTAATTTAACAACTGGTTTGCCTGAACGGGTGTGAACTGGCTTAATCCTACCACATGGCATAGGACCAAGTTACCTACAGAATCGGCTTCACCCAATCTCATTGCCTATTACACTCAATCTGGCAGGGAAGCTACTACAGACCCCGCTAGTCAAAAAAATTCAGCTGGTGGGATCTAGGAGGAGTGCCTTCTCTGCTGCTCCCTCTGCTTTGTAGAACATCCTGCCCCCAGAAATGAGGAAAGCCCCCAATCTCATGGCCTTCCATAAAGAGGTCAAAACTTGTCTCTTCAGCCTTGCATGTGTGGGGATGGAGAGCACAGAGGATCATGCAACCATGGGGCTGGCTATTCTCTTGAGAGCTTCCCCATCTGTAATATTCCAATGTTAAATGGCCATCATATGATTTCTCTCCCCCCCCCCCACTTTTTTTTGGATGTTCAATGTCATTCTTCTATAATTTTTTTAAAAATTAACCCTAATTTAATTTTAAATGTTAATTTTGTACATTTTATTTATCAGTTTATTATATTGCAAACTGCCCAGAGCCCCTCTCTGAGGGAGGTGGGCAGTTTAGAAATATGAAATTGTACATATAGATGCAAACACACTGTTGAATCGGAGCTTACTTCCAATTATTTATAACATAAGTAACATTTTTTAAACATTAAATTCTCCAGAATATATTATAAAAGCATACTGTAATAACATTACAAATATAACTGTACAATTAATGTGAATTATGTAATTTGCCTCAGGAACCATATCATGAAACAAATGTCACATCATGTCACTGATGATGATGTCATTATAACTATGAGGCCTTCCCTCCTACGGATGCTCGTGCGTGCTAACAACAAAGTTCTTGGACTGAGACTGTTCTGTGAACCTACCACTTTGGATCATAAATACAGTTCATGACTTCACAATGGTAAACTAAACCAACCAATGGTTTAATCTGGCATAGAGCCATGATGATGAACCTATGGCACAGGCATAGAGCAACTTTCTGTATTCCTGAATCGTGAGTTGCATGACACCTACCTCTTCTTTAAAAAAAAGAGAGCGAGAGAGAGAGTCAGTGTAGCATATGGCTTCTCAGCTACTTTTGGTAAGCTTCCAAAAATCTTACAAAATGAATCAAATTAAGGACCTTACTAAATGGCAGTAGAAAGATTGTGAGTTGAATCCCAGGTTGCTGCAATCATGTAATGAGTACAGAAGGACTTATGGGATGGGAAATATTCCTGGTTTTAGTATCGATACCAGTGCTGGGTTTCAAATTTTTTTACTACCGGTCCTATGGGTGTGGCTTGGTGAACGTGGCATGGCTTGGTGGGCGTGGCTTGGTGGGCATGGCAGGGGAAGGATACTGTAAAATCTCCATTCCCACCCCACTCCAGGGGAAGGATACTGTAAAATCTCCATTCCCTCCTCAAACCAGGGAAAGGTTACTGCAAAATCCCCATTTCCTCCCGATCAGCTGGGACTTGGGAGGCAGAGAATAGATGGGGCCGGGGCAGGGGTGGGTTCTACTTACCTTTACAACCGGTTTGCAACGGGGCCGCGCACAAGCATCAGGGTCAGTGGACGGAGCCTCCTGCCGGTTTTACTACCAGTTCTATAGAACCGGTGCAAACCGGGAGCAACCCACTACTGGGGCGGGGCCAGTCAGAATTTTTACTACCAGTTCTCCAAAGTACTCAAAATTTCTGCTACCGGTTCTCCAGAACTGGTCAGAACCTGCTGAAACCCATTTCTGATCAATACCAATCTGCTTGTGAGGAACCCAGAGATGGGTGGTTATAATTACTTGAAATAATAAATATATAAATATAAATACAACACTAAGTAAAGGAAATTAAAGTTATCTGACCTGCTGATTAGTTTCTAATAATGAAACCCAAAGTGCTTCTTTTCGCAGCTGTTTCCATGAATTATTAGAAAGATATTATGAAAAAAAAATAATTGGGGAAATAAGGAAATATGGAAGAGACCTGCAGGAGGATGTGAATGGTATTGTTATCTTCAACTCCATCAGTTTTTGGCTATAATGTAGAAATTATTTGCCATTGCTTTTTTTCTGAATTTTTAAATTTCCAGCATAAAATCCTGACATTTCCTAGACTCCCATCCAAATATTAGCCAGGTCCAACTCTGCTTAGCTTCCAACTCTAGATAAATCTGAGAAGATACTGCCATCTGTTGAGACAGAAAAGAACAGTTTTGTTTTTTTTAATGGATCTTCTTATGGAAAATCACCTCATAATTGGCAACTGTTCTACAAGGAATGGTGAGTCTCCATAGGCAGAGAGCATTCTTCATTGCAACCTGCTTTATCCTGCATTGGTTGACCACAAAGAAAATAGAAATAGTTAGCATTCTCATCTTTTATGAGGCTTTATGTGTACATGTGTAAATGTACACATATTCACATTTGCATATGTAAATATAAACATACCATTCCATATTCCTTGTGGTAACAGCAGTGTTATATCAGTGATGTAAACCTGATGTTATTTTGTCAATTCCCAGACCTAGAATCTGGCTGAGTTCAGCACAGTAGTTAAGAAGGTTTCCTTGCTTGAGATTTGTGTGATGTAGGATCCTAGTTATCATTATATATAGTATATGTATGCCACTATAAATATAAACTGTACAGAGCACTGTATCCATAACTGAAGTAAATTGTTTCCTTGTTGCCTGCTCTGCCTTGGTTTATGCAACATACTAAACCAAAATGTGATTTGTATCTCTCATAAAAATATAAATGCTATGTCCTTCTGATTCAATAACTTTTATCTAACTCCTGAATAGGAGACGCTTTTTTCTCTAAGGAAGATATTACAACTTTAACCGAGGAATGAATAACAGAAATTTGGCAAGTATTTCACTCATGCTTGAAAATCCATTATTAACGTGTGGAAGAACATCTCAAATAAACCACTATCACCAGAGTTTTCAAGTTGTCACACCAACAGATGGTACAGAATTCACATATTCAGGCGTGGGTCATTGAATGATGACATTTCAAACTGTATACAAGCATGTGTGTATCCATTCAAATCTCATGTGAAAACAAGTCAAAGTCATCTTTCTATTAATGAGGCAGCCAGAGACAATAGTCTTTCTCTGAGAAATGTTGACTCTTTCTCTGCCAAGGCAGAAAAATATCATCTCCAGAGGGGCAATACAGCTCCATTACCAGGAAGAAGTTCCCCCGGGGAATTGATGAGCGGGCAAAGGCCTGCCTTCTCTTTCCCTGCCTTCCTCTTTCAGAGAAGAAACAGATGTAGAGTAACTTTCTCTAATTTTCCATCATGGGAGGAGAAGGCACTTAAAGATTGCTTTTCATAGAGGCAGTAAGAATTGGGTCTGGGGTTCTGTCATTTCAAGCTGCTACAGGACTTGTACAGTTGAATATTCCTATATATAATAAACTAGTTAATAACCTGACGTTGCCCAGGTATTTATTTATCTCATGCCTGTATTAGACAGAAAGAGCAACTTCACCCTGAGCCCTGATTTCAGTGTGAATTAAATTAGTTAAAAATGTTTTTCCCTGTGCCCCCAGAAGCATCAAGTAAAATGATACCATCTTGTTGTTTTGCTAGCTGATCCATGATCATTTGGTATGCTTTTTTCTGATCTTGATTTAGAAGTGGCTGCTTGACCGCGATATATGTACTAAGCTGTTTGACGTTATAGTTCTTTTCTTGTATGTAATCTGCATGAAGTACGTCATGTCAGTCTCATAGTGGTGCAGGCAGGCCGAGTTACAGTAATGTTTTATTGATCATGGCCATACATTTGTCCTCAAGAATAAGCAAAGCCTTGTTGAAAGTGTCCAGACCAAATGTAATTTCTAATGTTGGATTTTCCCCCTTACCAGAGGGAGCCCCCTTGTGGAGTACTGTGAAGCCATTACCATGGCAACTCCACTGTGCTGTAGAGTAAAAGCCATTTTAAGGCAGTCCAGTAGAAGCCATTTTAAGGCACAACAGGCTGTATCGTAACAAAACACACACCCCAATGGGAGTTAGGGGTGCCTTACCCCCACAGTATTTCTTTCAAGAGACTAAGTCATCTGTGTACCAAGTTTGGTTGAAATTGCTCAAGGTGTTCCAGAGTTATGCTGGAACATACACACACAGAGCCATTTTTATATATATAGATAGATGCGTAAAAATAATGTAAAAAGGGAGAAAATGGCAGACTTAGCTGTGGTAATATGCATCAATGTCAAAAATAATTTTGTATTTAAAGAACAAATCTGATACATGTAGGCTTGTCTTACAATCTGTTGCTTAGCAACCACCCAACGTTCCGACAGACTCCTCACCAAAGGTACTTACAACCCAGTTCCAATGGCTACCCACACCAGTGATCACATGACTGCAACTGGCCCATATTTATGGCCCGTTTGCAGTGTCCCCTAGTCAGGTGATTTCATTTTACAATGCTTGTGCCAAATAGTGAACAATGGGTTTACTTACCATCGCAGCAGTTACTTTACAATCACGTTCGTCATTTTACAACTACTTAATGACCAACACACAAATTTATCTGCTTATGTGGTGGCTCGCTTTATGACCATCACAACTTTCAACTGTAGTAGGAATATGCATATCAAGGATTACCTTTATGCAATTAAATTCAACTTGGAAGCCGTTTGTGGACTATAATTCCACATATGGATTGGTATCACAACCGAAATGTGAGTTTCTTTTAAAATATTACATTATGCCTAATTTATTGTATTGAGGATAGCTTTCTCAAATCAATAATTAGCAAAGATAGCAAGAATGTATATACAGCATGTGTGTATGTACTTATGTAGTGTTTGTTTGTTTGTTTGTTTGGAAATTTTCTATAGCCACTTACTCGCTCACAGCCACTATAGCGGCTTACAAACAATAAAAACACAATATAGAAAATAACATAAAATTTAAAAAGAAAAACAATAAACCTCCACCCAACCACTCCGGCGACAACACACAGTCAAATGTGCCATGTTTAAGATGTATAAGAATTATCAATTACAATGAACAATTATTAAAATATTTTACATAACCATTTATTCTAATAGATAATTCTTAGTATATTGATTACATTTTTAATTGTTGCTTTGTTTTCAGTAATACTTAACATAAATTTAAGGCTATCTTTACATTAATGATACTTTGAAAAAAAATTGTAATTTCACAAAAATAAAAATAAAAATAAAAACCCCTCTTTTTATTTTTTCTTTCCTCCCCATTTATTTATTTCTTTTTTTCCCCATGGTTGTGCAAGAAGAAAATGAAAAAAGATTGTACTTGACGTGCTTGATTAGACTTTTCTTTTCAAGTGCAGAGACATTTGGTTACAAGATGTTTTTTCAGTCAAGTAGCATCCTGAAGTGGAACACTCAAACCCCTGATGTAGTACCTCAGTGAAAACTAGGATTATGAAGTTTCTGTCTTTTGGACAACTGCATTATTCTTTTTTTTAATGTGCAGGAATAGGTAACTTGAGACTCCATACTATATACACCTCCCAAATTCTTGTAACCACAGATTAAGTTTAAATTTATTTAAGTTTATTTATTTGTCAAGCATATATAAGATTACAGGTAAAAAGTATAAACATAATTTGAATACATGAAAAGAGTAAGTAAAAAGGAATTTTAGGATAGGAATGGTAGGCACTCTGGTGAACTTACACAAGCCCCTTACAGACCTCTTAGGAATGGGGTAAGGTCAACAGTAGATAGTTTAAGGTTAAAGTTTTGGGGGTTTGGGGAAGAAACTATAGAGTCAGTTAGTGCGTTCCAGGTATTGACCACTCTCTTACTGAAGTCATATTTTCTGCAATCGAGTTTGGAACAGTTTACCTTGAGTTTGTATCTATTATTTGCTCGTGTATTGTTGTGGTTGAAGCTGAAGTAGTAATTGACAGGAAGGACATTATGGCAGATAATTTTATGTACTATGCTTAGGTCAGACTGAAGTCGGCGTAGTTCTAGGTTGTCTAAGCCCAAAATTTGCCAAAAATTTCTGTCATGATTTTCCACAGAAGTATAAGAAAGTAAAGGTAGATGTGGTATGTTGGAATTAATATAGCTTTAAAACAATTCCTACCTGCAAAACAGAAATAATTAAAATTTATATAATTAATACATTAATAGTTCTCTCTTTATTTTCATCATTACTTCATTTATTGCAGCCTTATATGTGGTCATTATTTTCAAATATTATCAAATGAATGCCTGTCTATATGAGTCAAAAGAATAGGATATTGAACAATAATATTGTTTTTATTATACATTTTTATTATTGTATAATATAGCAAAGAGCTGAGGTGGCGCAGTGGTTAGAGTGCAGTACTGCAGGCTACTTCAGCTGACTGCTAGCTGCAGTTCAGCAGTTCAATTCTCACCGGCTCAAGGTTGATTCAGCCTTCATCCTTCCGAGGTGTGTAAAATGAGAACCCAGATTGTTGGGGGCAATATGCTGACTCTCTAAACTGCTTAGAGAGGGATGGAAAGCACTGTGAAGCTGTATATAAGTCTATTGCTATTGCTATACAAAGAGAATACAAAAATAAACAGTAGGAAAATTTGGGAATGGAAAGAGGAAATAGATAGTGGGGGAAAGCAAGGGGGAAAAGAAAAATAAAGGCATTCATTTCTGACTCCTATGGTACAGTAGAATAAGGCATTAACATCTAACTTTTACATAATAGTATAAACTACTCATTTCTATAACAAATCTATCTAATCAGTAAAACCCAAAATCAAAGTTTCATTTTTTCCACCTCAAGCACAAACTCTGGAAGCAGTTTCCAAGTCAAAATAAAGGTATTTGTATTTTTTAAAAAATCAAAACAGTCAATTTAGCCATCTCTGCTAACTCCATCAGTTTTTGCAGCCATTCATCCATTGTGGGGACTGAAGTGTCCTTTCGTTTCTGTGCAGAAAGTAGTCTTGCTGCTGATAATTTATATAACATCAAAGTTCCAAAAAATTTTCCAAGTCTTTTTTCATTAAACCCAGAACAATATTTTTTAAAAACAGATTTGCTTATTAATTGTTTATTTTGGTTTAAATGTTGCTTTTTTCCTTAAAAAAATCTGGTCCATTACAAATAGGATTAAAAACAACAAGAATAATAGAATCAATAAAATAACACTAGAAACAAATAACCTCCATATATATATAGTTACTGCAAAAGACTCCTCACATAAGCCTGATGATGGCAGATGAGATTCTGTCGAAACGTCGCTTCTACCCTTTTAGGGATATATCCACAATTACACAGGAAGAAACCCGAAATATTAACTATACACACATATATACCGATGAAAACTTACACACACACACACACACACACACACACACACACACACATATATACATATATATATATATATATATATATATGGCTTTTATGCTCTTTCTAGCTCTGTTAGTGTTGGCAATAGTCTTGGTAGTTATTTTGTAGTCTTGGTAGTTATTTTGCTGCAGGCTGTTATTTACTGTTAGTTTGTTTGTTTGAGTTGGTAGTTCCTTCATTGGGGTATTATTTTGAACGTTGCTTTAATGTTAATCTCAGTGTTAACCTATGATAATTTGGGTATTAATTGCTGACAAGAAGGTGTTTTGGTTTTCTTTTTTCTTTTTTGCCTTTTTGATCGTCTCTTTTGGATGATGTGTAGATGTTACTTATCTCTATGTTCCTGTTGATGACCAATTTGTCTGAATTTCAGGACTCCAGGAATTCTCTAGAGTTTGTGGACTTGGTTTGGTCTGGGATATTCGTAATTTCCTTGTTGAAACTATGGTCAAGTATGTCCATGTGTTGTGAAATTAAGGAATTTTTATCATGTCTTCTAAACTGCTAGTTGGTGTTCATGGATTAGCTTTCTTGTTTTTCAATTCAGATTGTGTCCAGTTAATAATTCTAGCACATATCATATCAGGCATAAACTAGTATTAACATCTCTGATGGTATTTCCACCACTCGTTCAATGAAAGAATGAAAAAAAAACAGCAAGTTATTTCATTATTTGGATGTATTCTTTGCTAATCACTGACAACTGCCTGGGCAAGTCCCTGCAGTCTTTCTGATCAAGATTTCAGAAATAGTTTATTTAGTCTGATTATAATTATTTTGTTTTGTTGAAAACAAAAGTATAGTTTCAGAGGGGGGGAATTATGAATGGACAGACATTTTGCACATTTCTTCATGTTTTTTTAAAAAAAATTTGGTTTAATAAATTTTACAGCAATATTCTAGAAAGTCTGTTTGTATCCCGTTCCTATCGAGACATGCAATTTTGTAGTCTAAATCTATCTAATTACTTGTGAATATGCAGAAAGAAAGGCAAGAATGTTTTTATTATAGGCTTTTCTCCAGAGCACAAGTTGTGTTCTTTCTGTGTTGTAATAATAAGAAATTTGTAGGATGATT